GTGGATGAATGATCCTAAAGGTTTCCTTGCGTATTTCTACTGCCGAAGGTTTTCAGATTATAATTAATAGAGCTGCTCTAAATTCGTTCTTAAACTCAAAATATATGTTTATATTCCCAATCTTTACATTCGTTTTCGTATGCTATAATTAGGACCAATTGTTTTGCACTTGAATTTTTGAGAAAACTCCCGACAAAAATCAAGAATAAAAAGCAATTAACTAATTATTTTGCAAGAAAAGTGATATTTAAGGATCTCAAAAAAATTATTTTGCTTTAATATTTACTGTAGCAACTGAATAAAGGATCTTAAAGAAAAACTTGTAAAAATTACATAGTAATAATCAGACGTTAGCAGTTTTAATTTTACCTCTGCCAGCAAATTGTTCGTTCAATGGATACTATTTTCCTCCTAAATTCCCCAGTTCTGACTCAATTTTCCTGCAAAAATAAATCAATAGCGGAAACATGTAATACGGAGAAAGCAAAACAAATTTTAAAACATAAAACATTTCAACGGAAAAATATTGGAAATTTTGTTGTAGAAGCAATAGAGGGATAATGAGCAGCTATGAAGAAGATTTTGTTGAACTTCATCCAATATCTTATATACTCTTCAGAAAAAAGTATCCCACTTATAGTCAATTTAAGCAGTAAAATGTTCATTTTCACCCTTGAAACATGTTATTATTAACGTGAAAAGTTGTAATTTTTATTCAAATTTAGATTAATCATTGAGGCTAAAAATGGAAAACTTCGGATAGATTTGATTAATTTTTAGTATACTCTCTCAAAAATTCGGATTAATATCAATGTTTTACCGAGAAATTGGAGCTTTCCGTTTTGTTTCAGCTAAATGAGCTTTCTTTTGAGTGTTCAAATCTTTATATAACCCGCATTTTAGCTCAATTTAGGGTAAATTTTAATAATATTTTAATAATTTGAGAGAAAATTGTGGAAAAATCCATATTTTTAATCAAAATTTTGTATCATTGTCTCAACATGATTCCAACTAAAATACAACTTGGGTTTAACCTTAAGCTTTGCATGAAATATAACAATGATATTTTACAGTTAGGTCTAAAGCGACAAAAAAAATAACAAAAACCTGAGATTTCTGCAATTTTTTCCAAAAAAGTGAAAAATTTGCAGTTTTTTCCAAAGAACTTTGACTTTTTTCGAAATTTCAATAGATTTTAGTATAGCTGTAGATTGTTTTCTCATAGTTTCAATTAGATAAAACAATAATCAAAACATCTAAATTGTAGAAGCGAGAAACGCGAATATCGGCAAAATTGGGCGTCAACAATTTTCTGAAATTTACCATCTTACCATCTCAAACTCTGAAAAATATAGCCAATCTTAAAACAATGGAAATTCTAATCTCACATAATTTACCAAGGATATTTACCAGTTAGGTAACGCGCGGCGAAATTTTAGCGAAAAAACTAGACCTTTTTAGCTAAAATCCAAAAAATACCGTTTTCATACCATTCTCTTACCATCAGACTCAAACCTTACCATTTACTATCTTAATACATTGGGAAACCTATTCCCTGTCTTAATGAGTTCTTAGTTCCCTACAATGAATTTCTAATCCTTATACATAGGGAAATCTATGCGCTATCCTAATACATTGGAAATTCGGGCGCCGAAAAATACTTACCATCTGAAACTTACCATCTGAAACCTGGTATCATAATACTTTGGGAAACCTATTCCCTATCCTAATACATTGGGAAATCTATTCCCTATGTTAATACATAGGGTGATGACCGAATACTCTATAGCTTGTGTTAATACATGGAGGTCATCACCCCACCCCCTCCCCCCGGCTGAATCTACCCGACATATACTACTCAAATGTATCAGAGTCATGTTGTAACTTTTTTGAGTTTCAATGGTTTTGTGTTTTTTTTCCTTATGAAAATTTTTTGAGTGAGATGCAAAGGATTTATGCAAAGGATTTATGGAATGAATTCGGCTTCGGATTACTGAAATTTTTTGAAATGATACATTTTTTCATTCATTTTCAATTTTCAAATTGTATTTTGTTCAAACTAAATTAAGTTGGAAGATAGTAGATGAAGTAGAAATTGAGAAAATGCTAAATTTAGTTAGAAAATCAATTTAGTTCATAATGAGTTTTGGGATAGTTTTACCAAAAATTAGCTTATTCATCATATCTTGAGAAAAAATCCAGCTACAAAAATCTCAAAGATTTATACTTTGATAAATTAGGTATCAATTGATAAACTAGTTGAATTTTTATGAAAATTTAGATGTTTTGAAGATATTTTATGTGAGGTAAGCTAAACGACGACATCTTTTGGACATCTTCAGCTGATACTTGAAGCATAAATCAAAAATTTGCTTTCAAGATCTATATTTCATTATTTTGAATAAAATAAAAACAAGAAGAATTGGTGAAGAAAAATTTTTACAGAAAATAATTTGGAGGTTACTAAAAACTTCTAAACAAACTAATACTTTAGCAGACTCAGATTTAGGATCTCTTGATTGTATGAAATTTAACATGAAAAATTCAATTAGACACACAGTAAAGATTTTGTTCTGGTTAGCTTCAATTTTTTTTGAATCAAAAAGTTAGGAAAATTATAGAGTTTTTTTGCTTTTTAGATTTCGCAAAAATATTGAATTGTTACAGTTTACTTCTTTATTTCCTTTTTCAACCAATTTTCAAAGAACCGTTTTTTATAGAAGTTTGCAGAAGTTAGGAACTAGGTTCAGTGGTGCAGTGGAGCAGTGGTGAAGTGGTTACGTCTCCGCCTCTCAATCGAGAAGTCGGATATTCGAGGCCCACCATGATCCGTGCTCGTTGCTTGAGGGTGAGGCAACATTACCCAGCCCAGAAAAATAACAAAAAAAAATTGCATGTAGCTCTTTAGAAGGGGCACAACAGCGGTTCACCGTGATGAGCTGTACAGCTCGTATCTTAGTCATATCCCTCGTGGATGAATGATCCTAAAGGTTTCCTTGCGTATTTCTACTGCCGAAGGTTTTCAGATTATAATTAATAGAGCTGCTCTAAATTCGTTCTTAAACTCAAAATATATGTTTATATTCCCAATTTTTACATTCGTTTTCGTATGCTATAATTAGAACCAATTGTTTTGCACTTGAATTTTTGAGAAAACTCCGACAAAAATCAAGAATAAAAAGCAATTTACTAATTATTTTGCAAGAAAAGTGATAGTTAAGGATCTCAAAAAAATTATTTTGCTTTAATATTTACTGTAGCAACTGAATAAAGGATCTTAAAGAAAACTTGTAAAAGTTACATAGTAATAATCAGACGTTAGCAGTTTTAATTTTACCTCTGCCAGCAAATTGTTCGTTCAATGGATACTATTTCCTCCTAAATTCCCCAGTTTTGACTCAGTTTTCCTGCAAAGTTAAATCAATAGCGGAAACATGTAATACGGAGAAAGCAAAAAAAAATTTAAAACATAAAACATTTCAACGGAAAAATATTGAAAATTTTGTTGTAGAAGCAATAGAGGGATAATGATCAGCTATGAAGAAGATTTTCTTGAACTTCATCCAATATCTTATATACTCTTCAGAAAAAAGTATCCCACTTATAGTCAATTTTAGCAGTAAAATGTTCATTTTCCCCTTGAAACATATCATTATTAACGTGAAAAGTTGTAATTTTTATACAAATTTAGATTAATCATTGAGTTTAAAAATGGAAAATTTCGGATAGATTTGATTAATTTTTAGTATACTTTCTCGAAAATTCGGATTAGTATCAATATTTTACAGAGAAATTGGAGCTTTCTGTTTTGTTTCAGCTAATATGAGCTTTTTTTTTAGTGTTCAGATTAATATATAACCCGAATTTTAGCTCAATTTAGGGTAAATTTTAATAGTATTTTAGTATTTTGAGAGAAAATTGTGGAAAAATCCATAATTTTAATCAAAATTTTGTATCATTGTCTCAACATGATTCCAATTAAAATACAACTTGGGTTTAATCTTAAACTTTACATGAAATTTAACAATGATATTTTACAGTTAGGTTGAAAGCGACAAAAAAAATTAACAAAAACCTGAGATTTTTGCAATTTTTTCCAAAAAAATGAAAATTTTGCAATTTTTTTCCAAAGAACTTTGACTTTTTTTCGAAATTTCACTAGATTTCAGTATAGCTGTAGATTGTTTTCTCATAGTTTCAAATAGATAAAACAATAATCAAAACATCTAAATTGTAGAAGCGAGAAACGCGAATATCGGCAAAATCGGGCGTCAACAATTTTCTGAAATTTACCATCTTACCATCTCAAACTCTGAAAAATATAGCCAATCTTAAAACAATGGAAATTCTGTTCTCACTTAATTTACCAAGGATATTTACCAGTTAGGTAACGTGCGGCGAAGTTTTGGCGAAAAAACTAGACCTTTCTACCTAAAATCCAAAAAATACCGTTTTCATACCATTCTCTTACCATCAGACTCAAACCTTACCATTTACTATCTTAATACATTGGGAAACCAATTCCCTGTCTTTAGCTCTTAGTTCCCTACAATAAATTTCTAATCCTTATACATAGGGAAATCTATGCGCTATCCTAATACATGGGAAATTCGAGCGCCGAAAAAAAACTTACCATCTGAAACTTACCATCTGAAACCTGGTATCTTAATACTTTGGGAAACCTATTCCCTGTCTTAATACATTGGGAAATCTATTCCCTATGTTAATACATAGGGTGATGACCGAATACTCTATAGCCTGTGTTAATACATGGAGGTCATCACCCCAACCCCTCCCCCCGGCTGAATCTACCCGACATATACTACTCAAATGTATCAGAGTCATGTTGTAACTTAATTGAGTTTCTATGGTTTCGTGTTTATTTTCTATTTAAAAGTTTTTTATGTTAGACCCTCTCTAATTGTGCTGTCTTTTTGATAATTCAGCTGCTTAGAATTGGCTCATTGTACATGCCATTCTAACGTGACGTTTTACTTAGTTTAGACTTATAAAATACCAAAAGCAATGTAAGTTTTTGACGATTTTCAAAGATCACATGTTATTGACGAGGCTTTACAACTTGATTCGCAGTGAATTACTTTAAATTTATCCGAAAAATTAATTTTTATATTTTAACTGTTACGTCAATTTTTTTGTTTTGCAATTTCACATTCTTAAGCACTGACTGCTAAAATTTTCATAATGCAAAAAGCCAAAAAAGTGAACGAGTGAATGAAAATATCAAATAATTTATTCTCAAGACTATCTATATGGTCCTAAAATTAAAGTGTACCGTGCTCTTTTAATTCTGTCGAGAGTCTGAACGTCTGAACCAAGAATATTTACATATTTACCTGAAATCTGCTAACTTATCCAGCTCATCAGCCTAAAGTGTATTTCTTCGGAAATCATGGCTGGACATTTTTCAATGAATCGTTTGGCCTTTTTGTTCCCCTTGTTCCCAATTTACAAACAACTCCCCCAAATTCTCACAATAATTGTTTTTCTTGGAATTGGAACTGCTGTTGCAGAGACGGGGAGTGATGTGTTCTACTTTCTGACTGGTCGCAGTGACAGCCAATCAAATCTCTACACGTGGACATCCACAGACGGATCGTCGTCGGCATCAGCAGATGCATACGTCACACTTGAAGGTCAGTTATGGAATGTAATTTTTAAAAAAGAGCGTCTTGAAATCAGTTAGAAGCCTCGAACGAGTAGTGCCTTTTAAGTTTAAGCCGGGGTCTTTCTTCAAGTTTCTTTCAGTTTTGAAATGGATTGAAAGCTTGAGAGGGTTTTCCTTCAGATTTGCTCTAGAATATGATTTTTCTACGTATTGTTGTTACACCACTGGTAAAACTTGAGCCAAACGACTATAAGTAATTGGTTGAGTGGTGTCCGGCTAACCTAGCGACAGCAGTTAAGACGACAGTCCTTTTTTAGGGGAAGTGTCTCAATGTCGAGAACAACTGGTTTGATTTCGAGTCTGTTTTCAGACCAAAAATTACACGAGTGAATGCATATGAGTCATCTCTCTCATGTAACATTCACCCGGAAAGTACATAACGATCGAAAGTAAGGTTAAAACCTTTAACGATTGGCTAGCGTCAAGATGAAGCCTCACGTGCCTTTAACCGTCTCTAAAAGAGCCAATTCAAAGTGGTCTTTCGTATAATCGGGTCAACGAACGTGTTTTCGCATACCGGCTATCGGCAGAACTATGCAAACTAATTAGTTACATGGAAAATCAGTGTGCTCATCTGGGTCGCAGCATCCACAGAGCACGAGGTCACTCCTAAAAACAAGGCTACTATATGGTTATTATTGACTTACTATTGTTTTCGATCAGGTAGAGAAAAATCAACTCGTAAATTGGAGATAGATTGGTCCTTTCCCCACTCCTAGAGCCCCTCATATCCTGAAAAAGAAATTACTTGTTATTTAAAATAATTTCAGGAAATGACCAGAGAGCTAAAAGATATTGTTTTAAAACAGTTCTGCAGTCCAAGAACAGACCAGTCCGATTTCTTAGTCTTCGTTGAAGAAGCGTCTTCTTTGCCACCAGCAGGGTTACTATGATTGTTCTAAACCTTCCAGATTGGTGAAATAAGCTTAGTAACGATTGTAACAGTACAATCTCTACTATTCGGAAGGCTTCTTTCTCTTCCGCGATCATCAATCGATTGCAAATTGTGATTCGGAAGGCTTCTTTCTCTTCCGCGATCATCAATCGATTGCAAATTCGTGATCATCAATCGATTGCAAATTGTGATTCGGAAGGCTTCTTTCTCTTCCGCGATCATCATTCGATTGCAAATTGTGATTCGGAAGGCTTCTTTCTCTTCCGCGATCATCAATCGATTGCAAATTGTGATTTGTGATTTTTGTCTCCTTATTTCCATCTAAAGTCTGTATTCTGACAACGAAAAAGTGGTCTGGATTTTCGCGGCTTTTCAGTTGTCACAAAAACTCTGATCGTTATGTATCATGCTCGTCAATTCGAAAAGTTAAATTATTTTTGTAACCTACTTTTTATTTTCAGTTTTTGGCTCTTGCAGATAAAGCTCTTTTTGATATTTTTGGTGTCTGGTGCACTCCTTTTTTCCAAAAAAAAACTGCAATGCATTCGGATCGAATGGCATATCAAATGATAAATTTTGAAACCTGCAAAAAACCCAATTACTATAGTTTAATTATGAAAAATTAACCTGCTATCGATAATTTTTCGTAAATTAAGGGTTAAAATTGCCCTATTTCTGATTTAATATAACTTATTTGCACTTTATTTTTGATACTTGCTGCAAAAATTTTGTAAAAAAAATTGCCTTGAGAGGGTTTTTGTACCAATACTGGGTGCCTCAAACAAAAGAGATTGAGTTCAATGTTTGATAATCTATTGAAGCTGTCTTCAGTCTTGATTCTGATGCCAAATAATGTATCTCAAAAATTTCTGTCAGAGTTGACAGAAATCAAAAAAAAAACGATATTCAGTCTTATTACCAACGTACGGCCTAAACAAGGGCAAAGGTGATGTACTACCAAAATGTTTTTACAGTTCTTCTCTATCGTTTTCTTAATTTATTTTGGGTATGGCTTGAAGTTTCAATTTAACCCCCACTCACCATCAAAGAAAGTGGAGGAGAATTATATTAAAGCAGCAGGTGATCATTTTGGTACTACTATGATAGAGTGGCCCATTGAACTTTACCAGGTCTCTTGAGAAACGGATACCTAAAATTGATGACAAATAAGTTAACCCAATTGTGGTTGTGCAATCGTTAAATAAGTTGAAGCGGGCTTAGTTCTTGATGTAAAACATAGAGTAATTACCATTTTTTGGTTATACTCCACTATATGGTGAAAGAGAAAAAGAAAACTTTTATCACAAAATTGGGCAGATTTTCCTAACAAAAGCAGGGCTGATATATTGAACGGTAAATCAAGGTAGGTCAAGACAAAATGTGCGAATTTTTTTAAATTTATCAGTAGAAAACGGTGTAAAATTAGAAAAAAGTCAATTTGAAGTAAATAAGGTGAAAGTGCTCCGGTTTTACTACTCCCATAAAAACATATAGCATTTTTTAGTAATTTTGTCCCAATTTTGATATATCGCGAGATTTTTTGAAATGAATATTTTTTATACGTATTTAAAGCTGGTTTAAATTATCCGGACAAAAAGTACAAAATTTGAATTTTTAAACGCGTTGTTCTCAATTTGGGTTGAGATTAGACAGAACGTGAACAGCCCCAAAGTTGTTTAAAAATTTACCAGACTTATTATGGTGCAATTTTTTGTGAGTTTTGGGACCTTTTTCATCCCAAAAAAGGGTCATCTTTGGCTTCCTTTAGTCAATCATAAATTACTCTATATCTAATGAGTCAATTGATGAGCAAGTTATATCACAGTTAGCCTCATATTTAGCCCAACAAATTTTTTTGAAGGGTATAACTTCCAACTATTTGGAGTTTTTACTAGTAAACATGACATTTTTTGGATATCAAATAAAAATTTCAATTATAAAACTTTTTGGAGGTTATACTCTCCTAAACCTTTGTTGGGCTTTATAATAGGCTCACTTCGATATAAACTTGCATATAAATTGACTCATTAGATTTAGCGTTATTTTAGATTGACTAAAAAAGCCAAAAATGACCCATTTTTGGGATGAAAAAGGTCCCAAAACTCACAAAAAATTGCACCATAATAAGTCTGGTAAATTTTTAAACAACTTTGGGGCTGTTCACGTTTTGTCTAATCTCAACCCAAATTGAGAACAACGCGTTTAAATGTTTTTTTTTTCGGAAAATTTATCAATTTGTTTTACCAACAACACTTCATCGAAAACAACTGAATTGGCTGTCGGATAGGGTTTTTTGGTTTGAAAACATAGACCAGTTTCTTCATAGCCCTTTTTGAATAGTTGTAGCCCTATACCGTCGTCTCCACACTAGCATGTGTCTTTGATTCGCTGAACGGCAATAGCACTAATACAGCCTGTACTGTAACTGAAGTTAGGAGAGTAGTACATAAATCAGCCGAAGTATAAACCAACCGAAAAAACACAATGTATATAAGCGAGCCGAAAAGTTACCTCATCTGAATGAAATTTGCCCTGATACGAGCAGTCTTGTTTCTATATGTAAGAGCTGGCTCTCCGTGATTTTTTAAATGGTTTTTCTGTTGGTGGGATTATGTTAAGCACTTACTTTTAGTTTAAAAAATATTGTTTGGATTGATCAGTTTTACACGCAGACATGAACTCAACATGTTTCCTTTGTAATAAATGATACACCAATATATTTACGCAATATGGAAATTTTTTGATCTGGACGCTTTTGCGATTGATGAAATTGAAAAATAATGAAATTTTTTCTTCAGTTGAGAGAATTGAATAAAATAAAAGTAAACAATTTTTTCCGTTGAAAAAATACTATCGAAAAGCTGAAGCTTTTAAATTAAAGTAAAATCTTTTGAAGCTCTATATAAATCAAGTTGGTGTAAAATTCGCCCAAACATTACATTCGCCCAAATATTCGCCCAAAGAAAATGCTCCTATAGACGACTGGCATGCGTCAGTTACCCTAATTCTACTCGTTTTTAACCGTCTAGACCTAGCCAGTTAGTTTTCTGGTCTGTTTAGGGCTAAATAAAAAGTAACCATTTTTAGGTCATCATTTAAACAAATTTTGATCAGCTTTCGTTACATACGGAAATAACCACATACCTAGGTCTCGGATCGCCAGACTGCGTGATAACTATTGAAAACACGACTCGAAAGCCATTATTCACAATGTTTTTAGTGACAGTTAAATAAAAAGTCCATTGGAAATGGATTGACCCTTTCCTCTCTCTAGCTACCCATGCTCTGAATTACTATGTAAAATCGGAGTTAATTCAACTATTCAGGTCATCACAGCAGCTAATAAAGTTTGTTCAATAGTCCCACAAAGTCTGTATTAGTCCCTGGGCACCGGGCCGCCAGTTACGTTTTCCCTCAGAGATAACGCTGTTATCTCCCCAATCTCGTGGTACGCGAGGGTACGGATCCGCTTCGGCTGTCCCCATTGAAACTTCCTTTCTTCTGATCTTCTTCCGCTAAGCGTCCAATCGTGTCTGGTCGTCACGATAAGAGACTTCGTTTTTTTCTATCTTTTCACGACTGTTCTTCGTCTTGTTAATTTGGCGTGTGTGTTGCAACTGTTCTTTTTGTCCTTTTTTAGTCAAAGTGGCCGTTTTTAAATTTCTGAGAAATATTCCAGTTCCAATCGAAAATTTGAAAATTCAAAATTCTGGATTATTGCTACCCTCATTTTCATAACGAATTCGAAGATTACGTCGCTAATGCCTATTTTCGTTCTCGTCGGAGGGTTCGACTGTGCCAATCCGAGGGAATGGCACTTACACCCGTGGACAGTCCCCTTCAATGTCCCCATTGAACGCATAACTCCGGGTTATCTTCAAGTGGTGATCCAATTTTCTGTAATCAATTTACAAGTCGCCTTAGAAATTGAAATTTATTTACGTCACCTCAACTCACGGCGTGTCATAAATGGCATGATACTACATTTCACTGCCTTCTAACCTTTTCACAAAATTTGCAGAGGAGTGTTCTAGATAAAATTTCTTTTTGGACCACTTTCGTCACTTCACCATAAATTTTCTTCTTGTTCTCGCTGATTTAAAAAAAAATTGAGACGTGGCACGGCCACACATTGTTAAAATAAAGTTAGTGTCACTCATAAAGTATAACCGTTCACTTATCTTGTCGCCGTCATTTTTAAAATTAAGAAGTTATTTATTAAAATTAAGAAAACTTCAGTCAGGTTTAAATAGGTTAATATACTCACATAAGGCCTGTATTAATAAATAACAATCAACCAAAATTTTAATTGCAATTCAACAATTGTAATAATAATTTCTAAAAATTTCAAAGTCTGGTCTGACCAAATATCAACAAAACAAAAAGTTTAAAAGTTTCAATAATCAATCTTTGTTGATTTGTTCCAGTATTCACACACTGCAGCATGTCAACAGAGTTGCGGGCCGTGCCCCAGCTTTCTTGTTCCAGCATCCTCTGCTTGCAACAGGCAGAAGATCCACGTTTATCTTCTGTTCTCGATTCCTACAGAAGCTATTGTACAGGCATAGGCTCACATTTCGCTCCAGGTCAGCTTCTAAGAGCTCCTTCTTCTCGTTTTCCGTGGTACAAGACTTGTATGCGTTCGGATGCCTTAGGATTGCTCTCTTATATGCTCCAGGTCCTATGTCTAGCTGGAGAGACCGATAGGCTTCCGTGTTTAGGGACATATGACGCTTCGCGAGTTCATACACCCATGCCGTCATCACCGCACGGAACCAAGGCATCAATATTTGTCTTGCCCATTTTCTTTCGATCGCTTTGGGTATTCCCAGAACTTTGCAGGTAGTCTTGAACAATTCTAGCTTCTTACTGACACTCACTTTGCTCAATTGCTCTGGAGTTGGAACGGCCAACTCTTGTTCAGTCGTTTCTGCATTGGCTTCCAGCCACCTCACAGCTAGCATGGCGCTGATCACCAATATCGTCACGTTCTGGGCTTGATCAGGCAATCTCATGGAGAATAACTCTCCAGCATCCCAAACCAACACTAGTTTTGCTCTTTTGGGGTACCAAAACGTCTGCACCAGGCAGTGACACGGGTACTCCCCATGAGTCAGCAGGATATTCCTCCAAGTTCGATAACCCGATGCTATCCACAGGGACTCGATTTCCATCATAGCTGATGCGTTTCATCCTTATCATTTATTGTAGGGAAATCGCTCGACATCATCCCTCTCGCCTTCTTTTTTTGGAACTCACTGATGTTTCCTTCGCTTCACTTCACGAAATCTTCTCCCACTGTCTCATCTAATTCATCCCTAGACCTCTCCGGGACTGCCCGAAGGATCTTCATCAGTAGCTCATGAGATTTTTCAGACATCCACGACAGTCTCGCGCACTTAGGCACCGAAAAGAGCTGGTCATTCCAGCTACAGAAACGAAGTACAGAAACTATAGAGTAAATCGTTGACTTGGATGCAATTATCATTTTTTAGGCAATTGAAATCCAACTTTTTACAGGCTGCATATGTTTGTTGTTATTGTTGGAACTTTCGAAGAAAGGGTGGAAAACTTGTGCTCGCTGTAGTTTTTTCTTCAGAAAAATTTCGACTTTTCAATACTCACTTATGAATGGAGTTTCATTTTCATTTTTAAGTTTTTCTATTGACGCCCTTAACTCAAAATCGAAAATCTATTTCACGCGTAATCTTTTTTGTGAAGTCTTAGGGGTTTGAAAATAGCCAATTTGGGACAATTAACGCGCAAAGTTTTTGGTTTTATAACGGCGGCAATTTAGAAAAGTTCCAATCTGATTTGTAGCTACCTATTTGAAACTATTAATAGGTTTCTACGCACAAATTTTGACATAACTTTTCATTACCACCAGAAAAGCTTTGATGCTTGAACTGAAATTTTAGAAAAATATGCATTGCACCTTAAATTTTTTTGTAAGTAATATAGGTTCAAAAATCGCCATATTCATGGATTTATGAAAACATTTAGGTATACTTAATATTTTTGAATGCAACTGAAATTCATCTTGTGAAAAATACGTAAATGGCGCTCTCCAAATGCGAACGCCTACAACTGTGAACAATTTCCAGTTTTGAAAGTGGAATTAATTTTTAAGATTTTCAGCTGTATAAAATTTGGCTATTGATCCACTTTTCTCAAGTTGGGTTAATGTTATCAAAAAAGCGCTAATCATAAATTGTTCTAAAAAATCAAAGAGCTTAAAGAGCATATATTTTCTCTTTGAAATTCGAAAGTTGAGATTTTTTCAACAAAATCAATGTTTTTTTGTTTACTTGCGTTCTTACCTTAGTCTTTTCAAACTGTCAGTTGGCTATGTTTTATGTTTTGAACGAGAAGTTTTTGAGCAGTTTTTTTAACAAGAATGTTTTTATTCAATTTGAGTTAGATAATAATCTAAATGTCACCTTTAATCAATTAAAAAAAAAAACTATTGGGTTTTCAAAAATGTGCGTTCTGATAATTTGATATCAAATTTTTGCGTTTTGGGGATTCTTGCTCTATTCACTTTACATGACATCGTTGACATAATGCAACTGAATGATATGGTTTCGGAAAATGAAAAATAATTATGTTGAGCGAGTTGAATGCTAATTGGCCCAACCTCACTGCACGTCACTAATTTTCAAATGAAGGACAGAAGCTTCTTGCTAGTTCCTTCAAAAGTGATAGTCAGTGTGCTGTCAGCGCTCGAGACTAAAATAAGTTGGGACGAGCTGGTTAAATATGTTTATTTCAAAATATGTGTTGCACCTTATGATTTCTTTAAAGTAATAAAGGCTCGAAAAATACCAATTCAGATAAATTATAGGATGCCGAATTTCCGATTTTCTATCAACGCAAAAATTTGGCGGTGAAATAATCAGGCTCAGAAATTAATCAAGTTTCTACAAAAAAAAGATATTTTTGATTTTTTGATGATTTCATCATTCTATGCGAAAACAAACAACATCAAACACGCTTTAATCTGTTCATAGCAGTCTTGTTGTTTCTATGGTTGAAAAAGATGGAAGACTGTTTGTACTTGATGGCGTTTGTTTTCTTTAGACAAATTTTGTCTTTTCAATTAGCAGTTTGTCTGTTTTGTTTTAATTTAAGCTATATGTTAAATAAAGTGTCATCTGCGATCGTTTAAAAAATTTATTGGGGCTTCAAATATGTACTCTGATAATTTGATATAATTGACGTGTGAGATGTATTGAGTTCTCTGAACCTCAAAGTGGCAATATGCTCCGGCTGAGAAATCATTACAAATTGAATTGAAGGGAATTGTTTGGTCTTTAAAATACGTTACTAGACACAAAATATATTACTCCATATAGCGTGTGGAGAAGAGCTTCAAAAAAACTATACAAGATTTTTTAAGTCTTACAAAAATTGAACATTTTAGGCAAAGCTATAACGACCCTGACATGTTCTTTTTGGGGCTCTGAAGATCAGAAGAAACAGTTTTTCGTGACTAAGAACACAATGTACCTCCATTGGGCCATCATGGCTGCCTCCCCCTCGGACGCAATGGGCAAAGTGCTGACAGACCAGGGCATCGGAATTAACGGAGTCACTCAGATCACATACGACCCTCATCTGGGTGAGTAATCGCCTTTCAAAATTAGGGTTGAATTGACTGAAATTTTTTGAATTTTTTCCCCTTTCGATCTGAACCACAATGTATTCAACGTTTTTTTTCATTGAAAATTTTAGTATTCAAAGAAAAAACTAATGAAAGTCATTATGAATTGCATATAGATAGTTCGAAATTTGTGGTCTAAATGAGAAACAATAACCAAGTTAATTTCCAATAAACTCATAAAACCTAGAATTTATTTTATCAGAAGTAATTTTCACCAAGTTTCAAAAAATTATTTCTAAAATTAATCTGACTTTCAAAAATGTGTGATGACATTAATTTTATCATCGTATCGTGTTCTCCTGGTTATGATCTTTTTTTTAAAAGTTTTTGATACTGATTCTCTTGGCAGTCTGTTTTTAGACTATTTGTACTTCGCAAACCACTACTCCAGCCACTGGACTCTGGAGGCCATGAATGTCTCTTCGCCCCAACAGAGGATTGAACTCATCCAGGGCAGCAATGGAGGCCCAGAAGTAGTCGCTCTGCTCACCCTCAAACAGTAAGAACACTTATGGCGTGTTATATCTATGATTGTATGTATGTATGTATCCCCAAATAGGTACAGGGTCGAGTTGTAGGAAGTATTTCAACTGCTTCCTGGAGTCACTTTACCCTTTGTGGGCCTTTCCATGGTTTGATCGGCTGTTTGAACCCGTGTTGATACATCTCAGACTGAGACGTTTTGGACAAAATTATATTTAGACTTTTCAATCAAAATGCGGCAGATATTTCAGCCGATCTAAAGTTAATACATTTCAGCCAATTTCAGTTTGAGGCAACTGAAAAAAAAACTAGATTAGAAACAAACTCTGATTCTCACGCATTATTCCTCTCGTGCCTGATGTAAGCGCAGCAAAGCAAACGTATACTACTTGCCAATGCCGTTTGTTTTTAACAATTATTTGAATTATTGCTGCAATGGTTAATTGTATTTGTTTTTTTTCGCCGAAATCTCTCAATTTTAAATGATGTAGCGGCACCGATTAAATCGAACCACTCAAATTTTCCTTGAAAAGCCTCAAAAACCGACACAAGAAACGAAAGACTTTTGAGGGGTTTATAAGCAAAACTTGAGCGGGTTTAAAAGTTTTTTTCAGAAAATCTTGAGTTGTTTTACCGCTTATCTCGGCCAGGGTGATAAAAATCTTGATGAATTCTTCCATTATGAAGACTTGGGGAGCATACTTTCTTGAGGACTGAGAGTTATAAGTTAGCGATAGGTTAGAATTTTCAGCCATTAAAATTTACACGCATTAGTAAGGAATCTTCATGCGAAGTACAAGTAACTATTTGGAAAGATCTTGACTACGGTATAATTGATTTATAGGACTTTTCTCTGGCTGCTATCTGACAACACTCTGGGTTATTCCAACTTGGATGCCACTAACAAACAGACAGGAATTTCTCTCACCAGCGGAAAGACTGTGGTAGACCTCACTGGATATAACGAAGACATCTATATCGCATACTCTGACTCAGTCGAGGTAGATAACATTTTTAAATGTTTTAGCCGAAAATAGTCAGGTATTTGCAATTGCAACAATATGTAAGTTTTTTTGTTGATATATATAAGCTTGTTTTGTTTTTTATTGTTCCGACTTTCGATACGAAAGTAACGGAATATTTGTGCTCGGGGGTGGGTTTTTTTTTCTTCAGACAAATTTCGACTTTTTAACTAGCCATTTTTGACGGAATTTTTTAATATCATTCGAAAGTTATTGTTTTCCTGAGCTTGAATTTGAAAAGATATTTTACCTGTGATCATTTTTCATAAAGTTATGGGGGTTTAAAGACTGCCATTTTGGCCAATTTGGAACAATTAACGCGCGATAAATTTCGCGCTATTAACGCGCGAGATTTAATCCGTCTTGGAAATCGTTCCAAATTGGTTCAAGGATGCTTTTATGCAATAATTGATTTGTTAATAGGCGCAAAATCTATCACTTTGTACTTAATATGAGGTGTGGGGGGATGTTTTTACATAAAATCTCAAATTTTTTCAAAATTTTTTATTTTTTCTATCACATTGAAATTTTTCATGTTATTAATGCTCCATAGACCTTAAAAGGCAGTCGGAACATTCAGGGCTTCGCCCTGATACGAGCAGTCTTGTTTTACTGGTTACCAGTTGTTTGTGGTCAAAAAGCTGTTTCCAAAAAAATTATCAGACTTTTGATACTGCTTTTTTCAGAAGCGAAGTCTGCAAAACGACTTATGGACAGCCATGGGGTGGTCTGTTTCTTTTGACGCAGCTACTGTCAAATCAATTGTTGCTACTAGCTCAAGTCTATATGTCGGACTGTCGTCGGGCAAAGTCGAACTAATTGACATGGCCACGTGGACGAAGGCGGACGCCACTTTTGCCGACTTCTCGTCCTGGGGTTTGACTGACTTCTGTGTGACGACTGCGGCTTCAGAGGATCCGACAGGGTTCAAGTCAGCTTGCACCGGAATTAGTGTGTGCTCCGAGTTCTGCTTTGATGTCGAGGGTGCTCCCACGTGTTACTGTGCCCATGAAGCCCTGAAAGTGGAAGTCGACGAAGATTGCCCAGGTTACAACAATTAGAATTTTTGAAAGCCTTTCTAAAACTTCGCTGCATTATTTTGTCATCTTTTTGGCTTGCAAAGTACAGAAAAGTGCAATATAATAAGTTTAATAAATTCAGAAGAAAAATCTTGAAAATGTTTTTAAAGTTTGAGATATACATCAATGAACTAGTAGTTCTGATGAATGTTTAATTTATTGGGATCAATGATGAAGTTCCTAATCTACAATGTAAACCGAATTTTTGAAGTTTTAAAAAGTGATTTTTAAAAAAACTTTTTGGATGTCAAATGTTTATCTACATTATAATGGTTTGTTGTTTCTTTGATTATGTTTTTTTTCCAGAGCCTGAGAGCCATCTAGTTACAAGCAGTGGTCTTGATTTGGTGAAAATTACAAACAAGGGCTCTTCTAAAGAAGCTGTCTCTGAAATGACGCTGGAAGGAAGCGACAGTCAGAGCTTCATCAGTGACCTGTCATATCACAGTCCCCACAAAACCATCTATGTCGCAAGTTAGTCTAGTGCCCGCATCCAGTTTCAAGCGTTAATAATCGATTATATTACGATTTTAGTACCAGTCTCACTATAATTGAGAAACAATCAATTTTAATCAATTAATAATCGATTATAATCTCTCTTTTTAAATTCAAATTATAATTAATTATAATCCATTATAATCGATTATAATCGATTATTTATTCGTCTATTTTTTGACACAATTATAATCGATTATAATTGATTATAATCCATTATTTTTATTCAAATTTCTCTTTTTTTAGTTTTGCACAAAAATCCATTATAATTGATTATAATTGATTATAATCCCTTTTGTTTGTCCAGTTTTGTCTTCGAAATTGCATCTAAATTGCTTATATTTTATGCTTTTTGTGTACGTTGGTTCCTATGAAAAATGAGAAAAATGTTTTTAAAGTTTTCCAATTAATTCAAATTTATAAGTTTTTTTTTTAATTTCTTCCCCATTAGAGTTGTTTTGTGATGCATATTTTAAGCTTTTTTAAACACCAAAACATCAGTAGATTTATATAGTTTTATGATTGATTCGGAAAATTTATTTTTCATCTACCGCGAGAACCTTTCCACTCATATGAAAGGATCTCTATGAAACTTTTGTTTCGTGGTATAACTTTGTGTTCAGATGAACCAAAGTGTTCAAGAGATCTCTCTTTTAGAGATTTTTAGTGACACAAAAAAAACAACCCATAAGATATATTTCGAATAAAAGAAAATTTCGGCAAAATAAGAGATTATAATCGATTATAATCGATTATAATTGATTTTAAGGGTTTTTTGTAAGAACTATAATCAATTATAATCAATTATAATCGATTATAAGAGATAATAATCTCTTGGAAAATATCACGATTATAATCGATTATAAATCCCTTAAGGACCTAATTTTGGCAATTATAATCGATTATAATTGTCAAAAAATCATCATAATAATCCGTTATAATCGATTATTTACGCCTAAACTTGGATGCGGGTGGTAGAAGAAATATAGAAAGAATGAATGAAAAATTAAAAATAATACTTAGAAGGTCTTAATAAAAACCATTAAATAATCTTCATGATCGATTTATATGATATGTCAATTTTCGATCGATAAAACTTGACAGTGAAATGTTTTATTTTGTTGATTTTTTTGTTTTGTTTTGTAAGTTGTTTGAGGTCGGATTTTTACAATCAGTTTAAATTTTATAAGCCTAATTTTTTTTCTGTTCACTTCGTTTAAATGCCGTTGTGAAAAACAAAGCATTTTGTAGTTGATAACCAAATCAGAACGATCTCTTCTGAAAATGGAGACGAAGAGACTAGACTGGAACTGGACTACGAGATCCATCGAGTGCGGGTGGACCATAAAGACAGCCGCGTTTACATTGCGGGCGCAAACGGAGATATAGAGTTCTATGACGGCAAGAGGAGCAATGACAGAATCAAGGAGAGTCGACATCTCGTGATCAGCCGAATCCATGCAAATGACTTCGTCTTAGATTTCTGCTACAAGTAAATAAAAGCAAATTTTTATCTATTTGAAACTCAGGAAAAAAAATCGCTTATTTTTGAGCTCGTATCATACAATTTTTTGATCACAGGTAAAGCAAGGTTAAAAAAGCAAAGGTATGCGACCGGGTACAAGACTTTTGTCCCATAATGAACTTTGTTTGCAGAACTCTCACGTGAAATTGCTACACGTGTTTCATCTTGCACATATTAAATTCAAATTCATGTAAATATTCAGCATACCTGGCATAGAGTAACACCAATGCTCGATTCGGCAAAGGCCTGGAGTCCTTTTTTGCAATCTGGAAATTTTCTGCTTCTCGCAATATCGTATTTTTGTTTTTGTTGGCTTACTTTCCACAGCACTGACCTTCTTTATTACGTTAAGTTTTATTGTAACATTCTGAACGCCGTTTCAAGAAAGGAGATTCAGTTTCAATTTTTTTCAACATTTTTTTGATTTTTATAAGGTTTTGCTACATTGATTCATCTACTTATAATTATTACGCATCAGATCATAAACCTAGCGATTACCAACCGTTACAAAACCGGAGCATAAAATTTTACAGGGAAAAATTTAACTAACATAATCCCTGAATTATTTTTTTTATCAAATCTGTGTTAATTCAATACTTTTTGTATTTTATATTATAAATTATATTGCATCGAAACCTGGCTTTCACGAAAAGTTTTGGATGGTTTTATAGTAGCACCATCTACACATCAATTACTTTGTGGTGACTTTCATATTGATATTTTAAGGAAAAGCAAAAACCTCTCTGAATTGATAAGCATACTGAACGGAAACGATCTATGTCGAAAAAATACCGATTTATGAAATTAAAAAAAAAAATAGAACTAGAAATGGCAGAAGTAAAATTGAAAATTGGCAGAAGAAAATTGGTTCGTAATAGAAAAAAAAGAGCATTTTAACCAAAAAAATTCACGATTGGAACCCAACAAAAACATCAGCCGAGAGGTTTTGAAACTATACAACGATCTAACATGTGCTATCAAAAACAGCGATATGGAAGAAAAGAACATAATTGTTGATGTGTTAAACAACTTTTTTGCAAATGTTGGAGCGAAATTGGCGAGGAAATTTCATACTTTAAAAGAATTGAGTCAGAAAGCAAAATAACTCAATGTTTTTCCAGACAAAACGCAAATATATAAAATACAATCGAATCGCCGAAAACCAATTTCTGTTTAGATACATATGGACTTAATCGCTATTACTTGAAAAAAAAATTGCCGAATTTTGCTCCCAGTTTTGACAAAATTTTTACAAAAATGTTTGGGTTAACATGATTTTTCAGACAGTTTTAACCTTGCTAAAGTTACCACTTTCTTCAAAGAAGGCAATGATCTAAACCCATGAAATTACAGACCAATTTTTCTTACCAGTTGTAGGTAAAATTTTTGAGCAAGTCATTCATAACTAAATGAACCAATATCTGACGAAGTATCAATTATTACAAAAATGCCAGTTTGGTCTTAGATCAAAAAGGAGTACAATTGATGCTTTCATATTCATAAAAGAAAACGTGCGTAAAGATTGGAACTTCAATACCATGAAGACGCTGCGCCCATTCATCAACCTTAAAGTAGCCTTTGATACAGTTGACTACATGATTTTACAAGAGAAATGTGGCGCATATGGTTTTCGGGGACCTGTTTTAGACATTCTGAAGCCCCATTTAAAAAACCGACAACAATACATTGCCATTTAACACAAATAATCTCAAAACAAAAATGTGAATTATGGAGTACAACAGGTATCCATGATAGGCCTGCTTTTTTTAATAATTAATATAAACGACATTGAGCTAGGTAAAAATAGTGAAAGTAATCTGATTTTGTATGCAGACGACTCTGTCCTACAAACAACTGCTAGAAACAGTGAATTAACCGGTAGACACCACGAAGCGTAGGAAAAAGCAGCAAAATCGTTATATAAAAAAACAAGCTGACCTTAAATGAAGATAAAACAATAACAATGATACTATCTCAGAAGATGATACTAAATCAGATCCAAAAATGACTGGAACAACTATTGAAGAGAAACAATTGATCTCTCACTTAGGTGTTCATTCAAATTGACTCTAATTTTTCCTTCAAAGATCATATAACAAAAATTGAAAATAATTTTTGATGTTTTACAGATTGAGAAAAAATTTAGGTAAAGAGCAATTACTGGAAGCATATAATGCTTCTGTGAAACGCATTTTATAGTATCGTGTTGCTTTTGCGTCAACAGACAAAACTAATTTAGAATTGACCTTAAAATCAGACGACTAAATAAATATTCACTTTAAGAGAAAAAATGAGAGCATAGAGGAAAACGGAAAAAAAACGAAAAATATACTTCGTAAAGGAATTATACATCTATGCGTTTTTAAATTTAGTATGTAAGGTTTTGAGAAAAGAATGCGTATTTTTTTTGTGAAGGATAGGTATACTGCTGAGCAAAAGGAGGAACGTTGGGGGGGGGGGTAGCTCAACGGAATCGTTTTGCAATTTGAGTTTAGGTTTTGAAATGGATTAGGCCAGGCCGTACGCTCGCTTTGCAAAGTTTCCGCATCACTCACTTGATAAATGTTGAAATTCTTGCGAAATTTTGCACGACGCGCGAAACAAATATACTGGTATTCGCGATTTAGTTATCTGGAACTTCTTCCAAAGGAGAACAAATGTATTCTATATTATTTTCAAAGTTTTCTAGTGCTGAAACTACAAGCAGTTTGAAACTATACTGGTATTCGCGATTTAGTTATCTGGAACTTCTTCCAAAGGAGAACAAATGTATTCTATATTATTTTCAAAGTTTTCTGGTGCTGAAACTACAATAAGTGTCAATGTTAGTGATGGAATATGATTGGTTAGTTAGTAATATTTTATAGAGATAGTTTTATCAATAAAATATTTGGTTTCTAAATACTAATTTAGAACTGGATCCGTTCAAATAAAAAATTAGCTATATCCGCTTGATTAAAGCGATTTCGCTGGTTTTTGATTTTGTACAGCGTACGTAGCTGCAGTAATCTAGTGTAACGTTTTTGCCTATAAAGGTTGGATGCAAGCAGTTGGTTGAATCCCTGCTGTCTCACGTTCTTTTGAAGTTAGGTTTCGTGTTTTCCGATGTTGTGGAGATTTGACAAGATTCAGTTTGCTGTTTGTTGATATGTTCCAATTATAAATTGGTTGAACAAAATGTCCAAAATAATTTAATTCGTTTGTCAATAATATTGCCCGCTTGCTAGGCACATCTACATTGCATCTCAGAACCCGAACAAAATTGTGCGCGCGAGTGACATGGGCGGAAACTTCGAGACAATTCTCTCGGGAGCGGATGTCGGCATGATTGATTCCCTCGCCATCGACAGAGTCGCCAGGGTGCTCTACTATTCAGACAGCGTTAAGTAAGATAATTTTATCCTTCCTTTACCAGAAAAACCTCAAAACCATCACCAGGTACCGTACTTTTCAACTAATATCTGTCGGCAATATTTAGGTATTATTCGGCTTTTTGTTTGTAAGTTGACCACTTCTTGAAAACTTCTTCAAGAGTTAGCTGGCTACTTCTTGAAAACTATCTAAAATTTCGTCTTCCCTCTTCTGAGGCAATTTCCATGGAAATGGTGGCAGTTGTAGCCTCGATTCTTTCGGTTTCAGGAGAATCATTGGCAAAATCGACCTGACGGACACTGAAGCATCTTTCGACCCTGTGCACGAGCTGAACTCTTCCATGCCTATCAACTCAATGGACATCTACGAGGACTATCTATACTTCTTTAACCCAGAGGTCTATGCCGTGCAGAGAATTGACTTGAGCGTGTCTGGATCCCTGGCCAATGTCATCCAGTACCAGGAGATTCAGAGACACTTCAGACTCACTTCTCTCGCTGATGTTCAATGTTAGTTTCCAATAAAATCCATCTTATCATAGCATTTCTCCTATCTGAAAAAATTTGTGTCCGAATTGACTGCCTTTCACTTCAAGTTTCTGTTTCAGAAATGTGAACTTTTGGCGTTCTGATTGGTTGAAAAAGGAATTGGCAATTTTCAAAGCTGCCGTAAAACTGATACTGATTGTCATGTAGCCTCGATTCTTTTTCATAGAATTTTTTGCTTATGAAAGAAAATTCTAACATTTTTTGTCAAACTATGTCGAAAAATTGGAGTAAATCTGCTGCTGCAATTGTTTTTGTTGATGTGCTCAACACCCGGTTCAAAAATTTTCTCGGCACTCGTTTTTCTGCTCTTCGCTATTTTATCTGAAAAGTATTCCAATTGTTTGAAACTTTTGTCCAGGTCCTGAAACAAGTCCCTGTGACATCAAAAACGGAGGATGCATGGACGAATGTCGCGTACATAATGGAAAAGCGGTATGTCAATGCTCGCACTCGAACCAGTACCTGGTCGGCTCAATTCACGGCTACTGTGATTGGAGCAACAAGACCCAATACTGTGAACAAGGTCAGGGTAGTGGCGAACACACACACCTGTCGTGCGAGTTTGCGCAGAAGTGCATCCTGTTCCGCAGTGTGTGCGATGGAGTGCAAGATTGCGTTGACGGTGCAGATGAAGATGCAAATGTGTGCTCCATGAAAACATGCGAAGACGATGAGTTTAAATGTCATAATGGACGATGCATTCCGTGAGTTTTCGTTTCTTTTTGATTCGGATATGAGGCAATGTCTACTTTTGTTCAAAAATAGAATTTCCAAGCGAATAGTTGTTTCAATAGATTTTTCATATAAATATTTTCAAATTTAAAACTGAGATATATTTTTTGGAAAACTAGAAGAAGGGAGGAAAATAGTAAATTGGCGGGGAGCTGACTAGCTATGGTCATTCAATTACAGAATTTAGCTTGTACTTGATTCCGCTCAATTTTTTTTAATTGTTGTCAGTAATGATTGCAATAGAATTAGCCATGAAACCAATGTAAATAGAGTTAGTAATATCTTACTTCAATGGTATCATATTGTAGAGGGCAAATTAAATATGCTAGTATTAGGCAAAAATGTTAAAATAAGCTTTTAATAACTATCAACCAAATAAATATTAGAGCTTTGCTATGGTAGCTCCAGATTTTTCAATCAATGTTTTCAGAACCGAAAACGTCTGCGATCACGACGACAGCTGCCGAGACAACTCGGACGAACTCTACTGCGAGTACAAAGATATCCCATGTGAAGATAACGAGTTCCGCTGTGCCGGCAACCACAGGTGCATTAGAGAGGAGAAAACGTGCAATGGAGCAGACGACTGCAACGACGGACTAGGTAGTGACGAATTGGTAGGGGAGCCGACTAACTGTGGTCCTGCAGATTGTAGTAATCAAAATGCTATCTATGGATGGTTGGGTCTAGAGTTCGTGGAGTGTACCGATACCCATATATGCATAGTCAAGACGTGGTAAGTTTGAAATGAACCCAATATTTTCTGATAAATTGAAGAGCTGAATTTCTCTGATTGGAGATATTTACATAGAGGTAAAGCTGAGCTTCGCACCACTTGCGATACAAAACAATAAAGCCGCTAAGTAAAAAAATTAAAATCTAAAATGGCGAAAAAACTAGATCAATTAAAAAATGCTAGTTTTCAAATAAAAAAACATTAATTGGAATGTGAAATAAGCATAGGAAGAAAATTTACCAAACAGTAACAAATCCGAACAAGATTGCGCGTATATCAGGGCAAAGCCCTGAATGTTCCGACTATCCCTCAATTCATATCGAATAGTTTTCTGGAAAAGAAAATATTAAGAACCTGTATACTTTGGACAATGTCAAAGTGTAAATTTTTGAAACATTCGAAATTAACACGGCCAATTAGCTAGCCTCAATTCAATTGGTAACAATTTTGTTGTGCGGATAACTAACCTCGCAGAAATAACTCGCGTTACGCTCTCAGCATTATGAATAAACTCTTTAAAGTACTTCTTCAGAACATGGCAAATTTGACAAGTTTTAAACCCCAGAACTTAACAAAAAATTAATCTTAAAAAAATAACTTTATACAATTGAAATCAAGAAATCAATATCTTCAATGCGGTATAAAAAGTTTTGTTGAAAGTTATTATTTCGATCGGTGAAAATTGACTGAATTAAAAACGAGCATAAATATTCCGTTTTCTTCGAAAGCCGGAACAAAAATACCTTGCAGAAACCCTTTAAGCCGAAAAAAAATTAACAAGACTCAAGTTAATAAATCCCCTTTACCCTCGAAACACAGACTAACACATAAACTTTTTTCGCATATCGAAAGACGCAATATGGCCATCATACCGATATAATATAAGCCAAAACCTATCAAGCCGAAAGAAAAGGAAAAGAAAAAATAAATGAAAGCCGAAAACAAATAGTCGTCATGAAAAACTTGACCTAGCAATTCTATTTTCAGCTTTTTGTGTGATCCAGAGGTGAGCTTAAAAACTTTGTTTTCCTTGAAACGAACCGAAACTAGGTCACTAAGCGGATAAAAATTAGGCCAAAATAATTTGGGCAGAATAAACTTTTTAAGCGACAAAAAAAGAAAACATAAACATGTCAAGATTAGTAAAATTACAAACACGAGAGAGAAACCAGAACACTAAATGCAACTATAATGTAAAAAAACCTTAAAAAACATTATTTCTACAATATTGCAACAAAGCCGACAAAACATAAGACGACAAATAATGAGCCGACCCGTTTTTGGGAAACGGAATTTTTCGCGTTCAAAAAAATACAAGTCCTGTCAGATTCGAACCCAGGAACTTTGCCGTCGCAAGCCTATTCGTTACCTCCAGACCACTTTGCCGCATACAGAAAGAAATAATATTATAATTGTTAGAATTTAGTTAACTGAACCTAAATTTACCATTTCCATTTTTTGACCATTCTGTGTCTTTAGTAATTTAAGGGGAAAAAGTCTAGTACCAGATTGCAACACCCTTGCTATCGCAAGAGTAAATATCATTTACCTACGAGGGAAATGGCCAACATAAGAGCTGCTCAGTTTTTCATGCTGCTTGGCAGGAACTACATGTTCAGAGTACAATGACCGTGTGATTTTTCTTTTGAGAAACGTAATGGTTAGGACCGATGTGGTTAACTCATAGAGTAATTTCGGATAGGGTACACCGTCTGCTCGTCACGCTATCTTATTTTCGGCCGGATAGATTCGTGCAACTTCTTAGTCTAATACCGATCCTAATCTTACTCTTATACTATCTAGTCTCAGGTTGTTTAACTAGTCTCTGCTAGGATCAATAGATCTAGGGTATACTGGTTTATTGCGGCTGCTGAAGTTCGCTTGGAGAGGCAACTAATTTCTAAGTTAAATTCAAATCTCTCTGGTGCTGAAATTACAAGTAATTTCAGCACTTACAAATAAGTGGGTTGTTAGTTATATGGATCATGATTGGTTAATATTAAATACTTTACAGTGGTAAAAAATCTAATTTATCCAATCATAAAATATAGTTTAGATCAGGTTCCACCCATCCGGGTTTTACAGAGTTTTTTAGAATTATCTTTCTGCAATTCAAAGGATGGATGATGGAACTTGGTATTTGGCGAACATCGTACTCTTGTCCGGTTTCTCTTGTTAGAGAAGTTCCAGGACGCTGGAGTGAGGGGCATCAATCGGTGGGTCTTCTTATGACAACGATGGTGTTTCCCAATGAAATCAATCTGATTTCAGAATGGTTTGCTATGACGGGTTTTTCTTTTTTAGGTAGAGAACTTCTTTTGTGTTCGACCTCGTCTGGGAATGGCCTGGAGATTGTGCGTGGAGGGAATGCCTTGTAACTCGGATCTGTACGTATACTTGAACATCGAGGTGGTCATTGGTCTAGTTCAATGAAGTCCTTTTCTGCGAAGTCAAGTCGTACTCTAAATCCTTTGAGTTTATGATTGTGGACGGCATATCGGTTTGTGGTTGGCCATTCTTTTTTAAGTGTAGTGGGGTCATTTGTCTTTGGATGTTCGTCTTTGTTGTTGTGTGCTGATCTATATACTGCAAGGTATAGTTTACATTTTATAAAAATTAGTGGATGGATCATGATTGGTTAATATTAAATACTTTACAGTGGTAAAATATCTAATTTATCCAATCATAAAATATAGTTTAGATCAGGTTCCACGTGCCTGATGTTCTGTTTTGTGGTATAGGCGATGCGACAATCACCCTGGCGACTGCGGCACCGACAGCGACGAAGAGGGATGTGATACATACGACTGTGGCGAGGACAACTTCAAGTGCGACAATGGCAATTGCGTCTATGTTGACGGTTGGGTTTGTGACAACTATAATGACTGTGGCGACTACTCGGACGAATCACCCAATTTATGCAACAGTCAGCATTGAGTTCAATCTCATTCACATTTTTTTCTACCTCTCTGCAATTTTCGTTAAATAAAACATATGGGCAATGAAAAAATGCAAATGCTGTTTCCGACAATTTTATTGTACTAGTACTTGAAGGATGTACTAGCAATCATACCTGTATTTTCGTTTGTTACAGTAACTTTAGTACAATGTAACGATGACGAGTTCAAGTGTAACAACGGAAAGTGTATCCCGAAGGCCTACCGGTGCGACTCGGACAACGACTGTGAGGACAATTCGGACGAGGAGGCGCCCCACGTGGACTGCCCTAACTTGGAGTGTGAGCCGAATCAGTTCAAGTGTTCCGAGGTTGGAAACCACAGGAGAAGATGCATACCCTTGGTTAGTGTTCAATTGATTGGTTTCAAATTTCAAAATTAAACTTTTTTCAAGTTGACTTAAACAAATTGAAATTTAATTTAATACAATTTTGTAGATTCTGTTTCATAATACCACGAATAATCATCGGAATGGGTCGAGCAGTATATCATATTAAAGCCATTTCAGTCGGTATTCGAATATTTCACAATTTTTTCAATTTTGTCTCAGTGTTGATAAAATCGGGCATACTTGGCTGCTAATATTTTGTTAATAAATTATTGTGCAAAATAGTAGAAAACATTTTTGAAAGTTTTTTTTAAAACTTTTTTGTTCACCGAAGATATGTTTTCGAAGATATCTGTTACGACTATGCCTAATTGAATAACGTGTTAGTATGTTTGTATAGTTCTCTCATTGTATCAATCGCGCACAACACAAAACATGACACTATCTTGAAGAATAAATGAATTTTTTTGCAGTTTCTTTTGAGTGTGGCCGGGTGGTCGGGACATTCTGTGCTCTTTTCACAGCAACCGACTATAGTTGTTTTTCTGATTTTACTTGTTAAAAGTTTAACAAATGGAAATAGTGAGTGAGCGTTGACTTTTCTGACCAGTTATCAGCATTCAAATTTCTGATGCTTTTGCTCCAGTCTTGGGTGTGTGACCGAGAAGCCGACTGCGGACAGTCGGACGAAGACGAGCGAGATTGCGAATACCCTCATGAACCATGTGCCGCGAATGAGTTCCAGTGCGACAATAAACTCTGCATCCCAAATGAATACAAGTGCGACCATGACAACGACTGCGGTGACAACTCGGATGAACCCTCCTCCGAATGCCAGTACCGCGTTTGCCAAGAAAATGAGTTCACGTGCCGAAATGGAAAATGTATATTGGGAGGATTAAGGTCAGTAAGCGGGTAATGTTGAATCCAACTGCAGTTTCGTATTTTGAGAAAGTCAGATTTACAAAAATTGTTATGGGTGCAAGATAATCTACACTAGGTTGTTGAAAGGCGGCGCCAATCGCCTCTTTAACGCAGCTTCTTAAGCATTTAGAAACCAAAACGTCCCTGTTGTATTATATTCTTTGATCAAAAACAGATCAAATTGATCTTCACCATTAATCTCAATATAATTACATTTGTTTGTTATGTGCGAAATAGTCGATTCTGATTGGTTGAAAGACACATCAGACGCTTGTATTTCATCAGTTTGCATTTGAGCAGGTGTGACTACATGAACGACTGTGGCGATAAGTCGGACGAAGATGAAGATGATTGTGATTATGAGGAGGATGATGCGAGCACACAGTGTGACCTTGAAACTGAGTTCGAGTGTGTGGGGAACCTGAGGAAGAAGTGTATCAGCATTGACGAAGTCTGTGATGGCACCAATGACTGTGATGTAAGTATCACTCGCTTTTTTAGACTACACGAAGAATCATTTCACAAAGAGTTTCCTAAATTCTTGTGCTTAATTATTTTACTACTGAAAGTTTCAATTTTCCCCACTTCAGCACGGAACTGACGAGACTAACTGTGATGTAAATGAGTGTGAAATAGAAGAAGGAAACAGCTGTGAACAAGTTTGCGTGGACCTCAAGTCCGGATACAGGTGTGGGCAGTGTAACGAGGGGTTCCAGTTGGAACCTAATGACGACACTCACAGCAGATGTCTGGACATTGATGAATGCAGCCTACAGCCGAGGTAAGATAGACGGAAATTTACTCCGGATTTGGCTCGATAGGAAGTTTCATTTTGTAATACAAGAAAAGACGCAAGTAAGTTAATCGAATCCTCATTTATTGGAATGTTAGCACATTAGTCATTTCAGCTATTGGCTACTTTAATCCACGCCGAAAGAAAACGGCACCAGTTCAAAAAAAAACTTTTTTGTTGTATTTGTAAAGACTATGTTCGGAACTTTCTAAGCTACTGGCACTGTAGCCGGTTATCTTTGTTTTTTAATTGAAAATACTCTCGCCAACTTGATTAATTCAACTCAAATGACTATGTCTCTCTTACTTAAGGGAAATTTAAAATTTTTTGGAATTTACGGTTGTCAGAAGTTTTAAAACCTAACTTTATAGTTCTTAACTAAACATAAGTTTTACCTATCGATCCAGTTACTTTTCAGATTTAAGTAATTTTATCAGAAATTATTCTACCACTAAAAAGATTTGGGAGTTCAAGGAATTATAATCTAATTCTTCTTTAGACTATGCGAATGTATTATTACGAACCTTCTTTTTTTTTAACCCAAGTTATAAATAAAATTTCGATTGAAAAGTTCAAAGCAATGATAAAAAGCTCAATTTCAGAAACTTTTCCAACGCAATGTATCTCGCAACTTTTTTTCGAAATGCATAATTTATGACATAATTTATCTTTATGCTTTCCAATTTATTACATGCAGAATTGTCTGTTTTTCTTTGTATTTGATGCTACTTTTGCTGCACCGAATTGGCAATTTATTAGCATATGTAGCTGCGTTATTGGTGATTAGTTTTTGGTAATTTAAAGCATCCGTGGCTGAGCACCCGGGTTGACCTCCATTGACCGAAAATGCTAATCATACAATTTCATACATTTAGTCTACGGAAAATTGCTAGTCATACAAATTTCATACATTTTTGCAAAATGAGTTTAATCGAATTTCAAAGGTATTTTATAGTTATTTTGGCATCGAAATTGGTATCTCTTCATAAAAAAAGGGGAAAAAATGGTATGAAAAAAAAAATGCTAACCATACAATTTCCATTTATGGAAATTGTATGATTAGAATTTTCTTAAAAATTTTTTTGTGAAAAAAAAAGCTTTGATCAATCAATTCAACTGCTGGCAAAACATTTAAGCGTTTTTTGGGCTGCTACGACTGAAACGTATGGAATTGTATGGAAAGTGTATGACTAGCATTTTTCCTTATATGGAAATTGTATGACTAGTATTTTTGGTCATCCCGGGTAGATAGTGCGTGAGACTCAAATTTCCTAGATTGCAGCTTCGAATCCTATACGTAGCCGAGTTTTTGCAAATTCGAGGCTTAATTCTATTTTTTTTATTTCACTTGATAGAGCTGCTTTTTAGTATTGTTCTTGCAAATTTTTGCGAAGCGCAGCTTCGCCTCTGTGTAAACAAATGTTCTTGAAGACAACACTTGATAGGCAGATAACTGTGCTGGCTATCATTACATTCTGTGGTACTTGCACAGCACCCTGTTAACTTTGGGATAATCCAGGAACATACAGACACAAAATTGTGCGCCTATTCAGTGCACAGTTTGCCCTCCCAATTTTGTTTAATTCTGGTTTTTTAGATACTGCACGCAGAGGTGTCGCAACTTGGCACCTGGAGTTGTTTGCAGCTGTGTAGACGGATACTCGTTGACCTCAGACACTGTCTGCAAACACGTACAAACTACAACCGGCGAAGACACTTATCTCTTGTTCACGTTAGAACTACTGACCCCTTTTCAGCTCTTAATTCCTTACGTGCTCGTTTCCTCCCCACACTCCAGAAATCACTTCAGTTCAGTGTGAAAATTAGGCAGAAGTATTTTCTTTTTTGACCCTTTTAACCTGTCAACCGTTGAAAAAATATCAAACCCCAATTTTCGTTCAAAAAAATCAAGGAGTAACCGCAATAGTTTGTGATATATCTGGTGATATATCGTGAATTTAGTTCATAAACAGAAATTGTTTTTCTCCAAATATCATTTTGAAAATCAGGAATAGTTTTCATGTATGTTCGTTTCAGCGACGAGGTATCTGTTCGTCGTCTGAACTTAAACACTGGCAGTGTTGAAATCGTGGAAGACGAAGGGGATCTGATCGTGGCAGCCGACTTCAACAGGGAGTTGGAGCGGGTGTTTTTTGTCGACAATACTCAGGGCAAAATCCGAAGGACTCATATCAATGGCCTAGAGCTGCCCGTAGATTTTATAACGAGAGATGTCCAAGGAGCGGAAGGTCTCTCTGTAGACTGGGTCGGAAAGTACGCCTCCTGCTCTTTCCATTTTTTAAATTTCAGTATCCTGTGACACACTTTTAACTCATTTCACAAGGTTGTTCATAGTTAAATTTGATCAATGTAATGACGAGGATTTCTGAATAACAAACTCTGGCTTGTTTGATGTTTTCAATTAAACCTTGTTTGAGTTTGGCCTTATCTCAAATCTGACCTCAATTTATTTTCATTCAGCCAATCAGGACTGATAGACGATATTATGTCTCGAATTTCTGCTTAGGATTTCGAAAAGTTTTAGTTCTTAGCGATAGTTTAAATATTTTGCAACATCGCTGGTCTCCAAATAGCCAAATTGCATCCCAATTGTCAAATTTTTTGGAATAATTGAAACTTTTAATTCTGAGTTTTAGTTATTGTGATAATCTTTCGATTAGTCATTATGATGATCTCCTGATATGTTTCATTTAGAAATGTTTACTGGACCGACAATGAGCGAGCCACTATTGAAGTTGCAACCATTGATGGCAAATATCGGAAGACTCTCGTGAGTGAAGGTATCAAATCGCCCCGCCCTATAGTCGTGTACCCGAGGGGCAAACTCCTGTTCTACGCTGATTGGGGGTACGGTAATAAGCACATTGGCAGGATGTACATGGACGGCACTATGACCACTAGAATTGTAGTCGAACGGATCAGTTGGCCGAATGGACTCACAGTAGACGAGACGACTGAGATGTTGTACTGGGTCGATTCTCACCTACAAACGATTGAGTAATTCGAACACTTTTATTGGTTCTGCCAAACTTTTTTCCTCTTATTTCATTAAATGGTTCCAAGTCTTCAAAACTTACAGCATTTCAGATCAGATTACTTATGCTTTATCTGCGCATCAGAGGTCAATCACAGTTGTTAGTGGTGCTTCATATGAAGCTTGTCTACTCTTTTAATCAAACTTTTGATAAAAACAGTTTTTTGATGTTCAGAACATGTGACTTTGACGGCAACAAGCGCTACCTTGTGATGTCATCAGTCAAGAACCCTGGATTCCTTGCCCATCCGTTTGCCCTCTCAGTGTTTGACCAGTTTGTGTTCTGGACAGACTGGGTCAACGGAACCATTAATCGTGCCGACAAGCGGGACGGAAGTGGCGCCGAGGTCATCTCGGAAACAGCGAAAAGACCCATGGACGTGCGTGTATACCACCGGCTGAAGCAGCTCAATCTAGTCACGAATGCCGAAGGAGGTTTGCCAGCTTAACTCAAATGAATTGTTAACAACTTTGAAATAGTGGATCCGCTGTACAATCTCACCCTCTTCTTGTCGGCGGTGTAGGGGTAGTAAAGTTGAATCAAATCATTAACATTAAGATCATTTATCCACGAGGGATAGGACCAACATACGAGCTGTACAGCTCGTCACGGCGAACCGCTGTTGTCCCCTGCTTAAGAATTACATGCATTTTGTTTTGGTTATTTTTCTGGGCTGGGTAATGTTGCCTCACCCTCAAGCAACGAGCACATACATACAACCATTGGTAACCAAAAAACATTTCATGAAATTGCACTTGATTATAACATAAAAATAAATTCGTTTTCATTTTCGATTATTACTTACATAACTCAAAGCAATATAAAAAATCCCATCTTGGAGGAACAGCAAAAAGGCCAGTTCGCTGCCTATCGAGTGGTGTCTTCATGAGCAAACAACAGAAAATACACATGAATTTCCAATCACTCAAACTCTATGTTTAACCACGAAATGCTAACTATAAAAAAACTATAAAACTATTATCATAGGAAGTTACATTGCTTGCGTTAGTTATATGATGTTTTCGTATCAAATTTATTCGCTGATATATTTTTTACAATTTAAAAGTGTTCTTATTTTGTATATAGATCCAATGGTGAGCTACGAACAATCTGGTTGCGCAATAATGCTGCTGACCGTCAACGGAGGTTCCGACTATATCTGCGCATGCCCTGATGACTTCCGACTAAATCCGGTCAGTGTATCTCTGAAGCTTTGCTGAACCTTAACTCTTTACACATCAATTGGAATGAAATAGCTGAAACTATATCAAATTGGCATAAATAGATAAATATAGGATAACTTCTCTTGATTAATCGTTTGAAGCCTCAATGAATGAAGTGAAGACACTTACGTCTTGAGGCTTTTTTGTTTTGTTTTGGTTTTTAGTTTTAAAATTCCCTTTTATCTTGTTCCTTTCGGTTTCCTGGAGTTGATTGGCACTTCTCAAACTGAATATTAGCTTTGTTTTGTTGTTTTTGTGGTGTTTTTGTTGCGACCACGTCAGAAGTAGGGTGTTTTTTTTTCACCCGCTTTCAGGTAGCTTAAAGAAAGCACATAGGGGATCACATGGGGTATCGTTGTAAGCCCTATTGGATGTGATTAAGATTCTTAAAAAATATAAAAATGTCTTCGTGTTGAGACAATTTACAATTTACTCTGACTTCTTGAGCGTTCAGACTCAAGTTTGCGAAGAGCGGATAATTTAGCGAATATTCTTAATTTTTACGTTGAGTAAGTCGGTTGTCCAAATTACAAACTGAAATAGTAATGATCTATTATGCTTTAAAAGATAACGTTCACTAGTGGGTTTTTGGAGGCAAATTTCATCCCTGTAAAAAATTAAATTGAATTAAGGGTAGCAGGGTTATGTGCGAGTGGCGTAAAAAAAGTTATTGTTTCTTTAAAATTTGTGTAGTTTTTGCGCTTGGTGTGATGAGAGAAGCAATACAAAATCTTAGGTTATTTGTAAATGAGGGATAATCAACTACATTTGTCTTTTGTTACAAAAAAAATAGAACAAAAAATAAGGTTAAATTGCAGACTATTTTTTTGAAGTTTTTGACAAATTTTCTATTGCCACAGACGCGGTAACAAAGCTACGAAAACTAGTTTTCTTGGAAAACAAACCATTTTTTGACGGCCTAAATTAAGTTTATGACAACATCTACTCGATTGCTTTAATTGCTCAAATTCAGAATGAAGAATCTTTTTGATATTTTTCGAATCACGCTTGGAAGAACTTAAATTTTCTGATGGTGTTCGTGGGCCTGATTTTGCATTGAAAAAGAAGAGAGTTACTAAAAAAACTGAAACACGCCCGAAGGCAGTCGTCGGAACAAAAAATGACTTTATCTGATTTTGATCTCATTATTTTGAATGCTAACTGACTGTGGTCGGAACAATCTGGAATACTATCAAATTGATTACCTACGCGCATTTTTTACGAGACCTTGCGGTTTTCTAAGTCAAATATAACATGTAAATAATCATAATCGATTAACGAGCTTATTGTGTATTATTACAAAACCTTTTTACGGCGTACTGATATAACGTTCAAGCAAAATCGAAAAAGTGCAAGTCAGTATTTTAGTACGAGTCACCGTTTTTCTCCAAGCAATGAAGTTTTTAGTTTTTGTCATCATCATTGTTTATCCAGGAATCATAACGAATAATCCAGTTGCTTTCGCTTTAAAACACGATTGACGTAGAAAAAGATCTTCTGGCCCAAAAATTCCTAATTCACGAAGATACGAGCAAATTTTAGGCAGCACTTTCCAAACAGGTGAGAAATTTTCTCAAACTCGCATAAGCACGGAGAGCATAATCGGTCACTTTTCAGCCCCGTTTTCGCAGCCTATCTCTATCTGGCATACCATTGAAGAGTAATTTGTTGTACATATATTTTTTAAATCTGTTAATTTAGTCCGTTTCTACGGCGAACTAGTTTTCCCCTCTTTTATTAGCCTTATGCCAAATTTGAGGCAGCTTTTTTCCATTCTGGAGGCCCAACACTGGTTAACGTGCAAGTTTGAGATAAAGAAACTGTATATATCTTTACTTTTTGTGGGTCTTTTGCTGATTAGAGTCCATGACGACCCGCGTATAACGAATCGCTCTTCCCATACAGTCAATTGTAGCCTCAAAAATTTTTAAACTCTTTTTTCCGAATTTTTTATTGCAGGTATATTTTTTGGATAGCTTTATTGAGACATTCCTTTTCGCTTGTTCGTCTCCAGAAACTCAAGTGCTAATTAAATTTTGAAAGTTTGCCGTCAAAACTTTGCACAAAATGTTGGGCCAGCCAACACCTCCCTTATTAAATGCTCGTTCCAGGAACTGCAGAGCTATCCCAACTGCAGACCTTGCAGTGGCAACGGAGAAAAGGATCTGTCTAGCCTGGAGTGCCGGTGCTTCGATGGATATAAGGGAATCAACTGCGAGCGAAAGGATGGACGAGGAGGCGCAGATGGTTAGTTTCACTTGTTCAATTGTCGATTTTACAGGAGATCTAGCTTAGAATTCAAAAAAGTGAAAAAAAAACAAATTAAATGAAGTTCCGAATTTGATTGAGATTAAACTTGTTAAGAAATGCGAGCTGGTGCATCAATTTAGAAACATCTAACCAATGCATATTTTTATCAGCTTTTTGCTCCGAATTTCGAAGAAAACGGGATATTTATGCTCCTTTTCACCAATCGAAATCATAACAATTTTCAACAAAATTTTTTTATACCCCATGAAGAGTTTATTCATAATGCTGAGAGCGTAACGCGAATTATTTATGCGTGGCGAATTATCCCGCGCAACAAATCGTCCCAAATTTAATTGAGGCTAGCTAATTGGTCGTATTATTTTCGTGAGGTATTAATTGGTGAGATAGAACTTCAAGTCTAAAGTGTTCAAGTCAGTTTATCATGTAAATGGGGAGCTTTTAACTGGCAAAGATTCATTTTTCCCTGGTATTAGAATATTTTATTTTTGCGTGTAAACATAATGGCAATGCAATGTTTATTTCTAGTGATCGGAGTAGTGATGTTGGTGTTGATTCTGGTCGTGATCAGTCTTGTCGTGATCATCGGCATAATCTACAGACATGAAATCAAGTAAGTTGCAGATGAAGAACAATTTATTCAGAAGGAATAGAACAGTAAGAGAGCTGATAATAAGACTGCTCGTATCAAGGCTGAAGGCTGATTTTTCCAGCCACCTTTAATAAGTCTGAAACATTTTCTCTTAGAAAATTTACACGTTTTTAATAAACAAAAGGAAATTTTGAAGTTGCACTCATTTTTTGCTAGAAGCCATCTCATGCGTGGCTGCACTGACACAAATGGTTTCGGATCGATTTAAATTGATTTTAAATCGATTTTAAATTGATCCAAATCGATTAACAATGTACATTTTACGAACTTAAATGTATTTTAAATCGAGTCAAATCGATCTTTTTGAAAATTTTAAATCGGTTCAAATGTCTAACAAATTGAGGATCTACATAACAATCTCCACCCCTTTCAAGAAAGGGGAAGGGGGTGGGAGATTGTTAAGTAGATCAAAGTGTACGATTTTTCGACCAATCAGAATGCAGCAAAATTAGAATTTACAATAGAAAGCTCAGTACTAATTTACTGTATTTATTTATAAGGATGGAGATTCCTAAATAGGTACCATAAGGGGGGATTGTTAATTAGGTCCAAAATCGATTTAAATCGATTTTGGATGGGGCTTCCGACTCACTAAAATCCATCCAAAACTCACTGAAATCCGTTTTAAATCTATTTAAATCGATCTTATTTGAATCGGTTTGAGTGTTTTAAAAATCGATTTAAATCAATTTGGATGGATTTGCAGACTCGTTAAAATCAAGTTTTTTGCTAACACGGCGAGAAAAACATGCCCTCCAAAATAGTGTTGGAATTTTTTATTCTCGATGTTTTAAAAATAAACACTCGTGCCAGATGTTATAGAATTCAATAAAATGATCCGCATTAATCGAACTTTAAACTCGAAAATAGGCAGTTAAATAATAGAAAATTATTGTAAATCAGATTTTGCAAAATGCTTGTTAACAAAAAAGAAAAGGGTCAGAAGAAATTAAAATTTGATCTCATTAATATGCAATTACATCATAGAAAATTATGAAGATAAATCAGATTTTGAGCAAAACTTATGAAACGAATCAAGAAAAAAATCAATATATATCAGTTTTAGTAAACATGCTTTTAGAAAACAATAGATCAGTTTTCAATATAGAAATTATGCAAAAAATCATAGAATTTCATCTATATTTATATTGATTTTTTTTATTTGGTCTTTTTATGCTACAATACGCCATGGATGTAAAACAAAAAATGATAGACATTGAAAAAATGCAATAAAAATTCTATACTAATGAATCTCGAATGAAAAAAAATGGATTTAAACCGATTTAAATCCGTTTTGATCCCCTTAAAACTAAAAACAATTTCAGACTAAAAAAAATGCATTTAAATTGATTTAAAATCGCTTTGGATCAATTTTTTAGATGGGATTTAAAATCAATTTAAATCAATTTTAAATCGATCCAAATAAACCTTCATCTTTTTTATTTAAACTTCGTACTTTTTTCATACTAAAATTGATCGAATTTAACCAACGTACTTTTTTCATACTAAAATTGATCCTAATCCATTTTTGTCAGTGCGGGAGCTTTTCGTGTAGCAACGCGTTATTTGCATCAGATTATTCACATCATACTTTTGTAAGCGATAAAAGCCGATATGGAAAAACTAAGTACAGCGTTTTAATTGTACCAAACTGGCCATTTGTAAACGCTCATAACTCTTCAGAAATCATCAATGTTAAAAAAAATTTCTAATCTTTGTGCTCAAGAAATAATTTTTCTAATGACGTCAAGTTCCTCAAAAACTCATACATTCAATGCATACATTATCATGAGCATAATACATTTTATCCCATATAAATCTCATTATAATCTCATAAAGTTTTCAGATCTATATTTGTTCTGGGTGTTTGAAAATTGCCAATTTTGCCATGTTCTGTTTGAAAATTGCCAATTTTGCCAAAGTTTGTTCACTTCAAATTATGCGCGCTTTGAAGAGTTTATTCATAGAGCGTAACGCAAATTATTCATGCGTGGCGAATTATCTCGCACAACAAAATGGTTTCAAAATAAATTGAGGCTAGGTCCTTAGGTTTTCAGATCTATATTTGTTCTGGGTGTTTGAAAATTGCCAAATTTGCCATGTTCTGGACAAATTATGCGCGCTTTGAAGAGTTTATTCATAGAGCGTAACGCAAATTATTCATGCGTGGCGAATTATCTCGCACAACAAAATGGTTTCAAAATAAATTGAGGGTAGCTAATTGGTGGTATTAATTTCGTACGACTCAAAATTTTACACTTTGATATTGTCCTAAATGTATAGGTTTTCAATATTTTCTTTTTCCAAAATCTATTTGATATGAATTAAGGGACAGTCGGAAGAGTCAGGGCTTTGCCCTGATATTCGAGCAGTCTTGTTTTTGTTAATAACCGCAAGTACGCTTTTGATTGCTTTCTGGGCTAGAAAAAGTGTGAATCAAATAGCTGAAGAATAAATCAGCCGAAAGTTTGTTCACTTGAATGACACTTGCCAGTCTTCCGTAACTGTCTTATAATTGTTCCGTTACGTTCAAGCAACAGATACGTGGCTTTGGCTAGCTGATTTTGTAACTGGTTTATACTGCGGCTGCTTTATATAGCTATTTAGAAAGTACTGTCTTATCTTTAGACATCGAGAAAAAGATAGTGCTTTTTGTCTGCTTTTTTGGTAACCAATCATCGTTAAATTCAATCATTGATAAGTTCAAATCAAATTCGTTTGCCAAAAGAACATGAACTTTGAAATTTGAACTTTGCGCTCTCTTATGACTGAATCGAAAATGGCCCACAAAATTGTAAACGAATTTCAGTTTCGAAATCGGTTTTTGATTTTTATAATTACTTAGCGGAGTTATTAAATGGCGGTCGGAACTTTCAGGGTTTCGCCCTGATACGAGCAGTATTGTTTGAAGTTTCCATTTCCTTGCGTTCCTGGACGCTTCTGCAACAATGGCAATGTTTTAAATTTCGTTTGAGGTGTGAGTCTAAGGCCGAGTTAGTAGCTTTTTTTGTCAAAACTTGAGAAAAAAAAGCTCGAAAATGGTTTTCAGCTAATTCGAAGCTCAAATTAGCTGACGTAAAAACCTAAATTTTTCAAAAAACTGCATCTATCTGCCAAAAATTTCCTATGCATGTCTGTTGGCCAGGCCGGAGTAACTGTTTTTTCTTGCTTCAAAATTTTATATATGTATTTTCAAGTTGTGTTGACATTTAACAAAATGGTGTTTTGGAGGTTTTTTGGGAGCATCCAGGAAAAAACCTTTGTGTAATTTGAAATTTGTTAGAAACGTGGTTTTTATTTTTATGAGAAAACTTATGTTTTAAGGAGAACGGCTGTTTCCTTGATGAATAGGCCACTAAATGAGCCTGTGAGTTTCCACGTGGGCGGCAGAGTCAACCCTGGGTTTAACACCCACGACAACGACCGAGAAACACTCGCAAGTGACTTCGTAAGTGTTCACGCCAATACATCTATCTATCGCTTCTCTCTTAAATCTGTTTTCATGAGAACGTTTTTAAATGGCAACCAACTCGCTCGCAAAAAAATGGGAAATGGCGCAGAAAGCGACGCTCGATTTATAGTTTCAAAAGTGGAAATTTAGATTTGCATTTGGGGTTAGTTATCAAAACCTTGTCAATCATAGAAATTTTTTGCAACTGGGAAGAAAAATTTCTGAAAAGTTTGGACAAATTTAGACGACTGTCTTTGTTCTGTGAGTTTATATCATCAAGTCATTCCACGCTTTTCCAACTGTCTGTTGTATATTCATTTTGAAATGGAATCTTTATTGATCGGAATCGAAATAATTGTTTGAAAATTTAGTCATGCAGTTCATCCTTGAATGGTGTCATTCCTTTTGAAAACATTCTAGGTCTTAATTTTGTTAGAAATCTAAAAGAGAAGTTGAAGTTGTTCTGATTTTAAAATTTTCAGTTGTATCTCTGAATATAAGCAAATTTTCAATTTGTTCTGAATAATGTCTTGTTAAAATGTTCGATTGTATTGCAGGCAGGAGTCGTGGAAGGACCCGAACTCTGCGCCGGAAATGGACTCTCTGCGCCCGCGGATTCGGGCCGATATAACTTCAGCAACCCGGTGTTTGAAATAAACGAGGCCCAGCTAGCCATTCGAGACTTCAAAGCCCCCGGAAAAGAACCAAGTGTCCTTTACGCGCCTTCAACCGAGGAGGAATCGGGTTCCGAACTCGCAAACGTTGAGAATTGAATCAACTTCGAAGGCTGAAACATACGAATAATAAACCCTGTAACTTGTCAGAAAAAACTATCCTCAACTATTAATAGCTTTTCAAGCAGCTCTAACCTGAATCACAAATCAAATAACATATAGCGCTGAGTCATATCCATATCATCAGGGGTGGATTTATGGGAGTGGCAGACGCCCTCCCTCAGGGATTCGACCCCCTCATCAACCAATGGGTCCCCCCTTTGGTATTATTTCATGCCAATCATTTGCGGCCGAAAAACTCTGAAGCTTTTCTAATTTGGCTCCAATATATAATAATTTTGAAGGGGAGCGCGCGGTGAAAAAAACGTGATTTTTGTTAATCAAAATTTTCCAAAAGGTGCCCAAAAACGCATTTTCGACCTGTTTTTCCAAAAACTCGCCTGCTTGCGGCGCAATTTTTTTAAAAATAAAATTAGGGTCCTAATAGTGTTGTGTGAGCGCTTGGAAAATCAATTTGGTCATCCTAAAAAATCCGATAGAATCCCCCTTTCGAGACAATCTAGATCCGCCCCTGCATATCAGGTAAAGCATCCATTTCACAAATTGAAATTTCAAACTGAAAAATTGTCACATTTGTATCTTTTCCCGTCTAAATATTCAACGCCCAATTCAAACATTTTTGCATATACATCAGATACATTTTAAAAAGTCAAAACAAGGGCCAAAACAGTAGTGAACCAAATAAAAAGGGATCAGCTCTCTTGTCAGTACTGTGTCGCTGTGAAGAAGATGAACGGCCTCAACTCTCTATTGTCTGGAAACGTACTATTGTCTGGATTGTGTGAGAGTCGATTCATGTAGTTCAGACTCTTATATAGATCGCGATGATTTTTTGCTTGTTTTTTGTCAGGAAGTCGCTTCTTTGTTAAAGGAGGGCAAACTCCACTATCGAAAGTGGAAAGACTTCTAGTTTCGAAAGGAATTTAATTATCAAATTTCCCAGCCAAATAAGTACTTTAAGTATTGATCCAGTTTTCTCAAGTTGGGATAATTTTATCAAAAAAGTTTCAATCATTAACTTCAAGGAGCTTTAATGCTATCTTTAGTTTTTATGAATTTCAAAAAAAATAACAAAATTTAAGTCCGTATTTTTTTTCGGTTTACTTATTTTCATTGAATCTTTTCTAACTGTCTGTTCGCCCTGTAGTTATTATCTAACTATAAATGTAAATAGCCTATAATTACAAATGTAGTAACTCTGTAATTACAAATGCCAAGATCGATTTGTTGTTTGATTTTAAAATTTTCGGGCCGACCTAAAAATATCCGCAAGATCCAGTTTTCTCTCACTGGGTTAGTTTTAAAAGAAAAAGGATTATCGTAAGTTCGTTAACACTTTTCCAAGCTTTTAATGGCTATTATTTTTATAATTGCAATTTATCCCTTGATTCAGTATACTGTTTCCATATTTTCACATAATTCAATCTACTAACTTGGCAAACAAAATATTTTAGTAAGATAGAGAAAAAAAAACAATAAGAAGGTTTGAAAAAAATTAACTTATTTTTGCGTTACTTTTCGTTTTACTTCTTTTTATTTAGAAAAACTATTTTGATTGGGATTTTTTGGGCCTTGAGTTAATTGGCCGGTTTTTTAATATGAACCCATCAATTGTAATTGCAGATAATCATACTTCCTGTAATGTTCCAAAAACTCACGCTCTATTAACCTGCTGCTTTATGTACTTTTAGCGATTTAGTTGAGTTGTTTGCTTGCCCAATTGAGTAAAGATTTAATACTTTGTTTGCCCGATTGATCAACAAAACCGCTTTTTGGGTCATTGCCCAGAGTTCTTAAAACCGGGTTGAGTTAAAACCCGGGTTAATACCCGGGTTGAGGTCACATTGAAACTTAGCGATAAGAAAGTGCAAAAAAACAGCGGCGCCCATTGATGAATTGCGAATGTTCCTTGCCACAATAGTAAATTTTATCGATAGATTGTCGCTAATTTGGCTAATTTTCAGCAATGAAACAGCGATAAAAAAACTTAAAAAAATGAACAAAAAATTAGGAACTACCGCGGTTTGATCCCGCAACCATCAGATCAGCTTGCTGGAAATATATGCTACTTCTGCGCCACAAATTATTGGATGAGTCTAAATTATATGGTTTGTCAACTCTCACTCTCATTTGAAAGCTACTAGAATGTATTAAAATTCGCAAGTTTTAGCGCTGACTTTCTACAGAATCATTTGTGAAATAGCTCTGAAAAATCGCAGTTTTAGCTATGCGAAAAAGTCTGAGTTATACATGAATCAGCGGAGGAAAATAACGATCACTGGGATACTACAGAAGCAGCGACAATTAACGGTGGGTCTTCGACCCGGGTAGCTCTCTACAATTACATCAATTGAAGTTAGATTACAACGTGATCTGAAATTTTGTCAAAATATTACTCTCTGAAGTAGAATTTTTATATTGATTATGTGAAGTGGGATGATACAACAATCACTTCAACAAAACGCATCTACAACAATCACTTCAGTCTATCGCTAATTTGGCTAACTTTCAGCGGTGAAACAGCAATAAAAAACCCATTAAAATGAGCAAAAATGGCGAACTACTGGCGTAAAAAGACCAGCAGTGAAAATACCGTACTCAAGGTTTCTTGTTAAAGGAAAAAATCAAGTTTTATAGGAAGAATGAAAATCAACCATGATTTTACACCTTTACTAAAGCAACGACCGCCCCTCAATTGAATTCAATGACATATTATTATAGAGAGCATCCATATATATTAAAGAGCACCCATGTATATTACATCAAAAAGCACCCGCGTATTAAAAAAAACAAGTTCCTTTTTTTTTGAAAAAAAAATCTGATCAAACGTAAGCATCGGTCGTAACAAAGTCATGCTGCTCATAAAAAATATTTTACATAACCTTAAATGACAATAAAAACTATTTTTCAACAACTTAACCGAAACAATAAAAAAAAATTAACGAAAATTATAGCTATAACAAAAAAGAGAAGCACGGAATTGTTTGACGTATCTTCAATCAAATTTTATATTCTTTTATTCGAGCACTGACATCACTGAAATTGATACATTCCAAAGACTAGCCATTAAGAAGAATCGTAAAGTTTTTTTTTACTACAGTAAAAAATATTGGTAGGTGCAAACAAGTTTTGGTATTCAACGATGTTTCAGAAAGAAACAGATTTTATACTATACCTGAACGGATATGAGGTACGTGGGTACTTAGGTATGAAGGCAACGACCAGTAGCCATTTCCATTTTAAATATATATTTTTTTGTTTTATCCTGGAGAACATATCGTTGCAAATAATAGCTGGCCTTTATCACATGTTCAAAAAAATTTCCTGTTTCACATGCTATTTTTACCTGTTTTGGGATTCTTAAAAATCGTTAATACATAGGCCAGGTCCAAGTTGCAAAACAAGCTAGCCTAGCCAGAACTTTTTTCATAGGTTTCTTTGAGGTTTTTCAACATTAATTACAGTATTACTCAATGCACAAATAAATAAATAAAATAATTATTTATAACTCAAATGAAATTTTGATGAACCAAATAGAACAACCAGAATAAAAATAAACAAGGAAATGCAGCTGATCATAAAAATTTACATTAGACTAAACTACCACGATTATCTCGCGGAAGACAAGATACGATAGAATTTCCAACAAGGAAAGTACCGACTTTCCGGAAAAAAAACAAATATCTTTATGTACACCAGCTACTCTTTTCATTTGAAATTATTTTTTTTAGATTCACAAATTTAACAGAATCTTAGATCAACACATGAGATCGTGTACAGACTATCGTGTTGAGGAGAGGGGGGGTGGGTGTGACTGCTTTTTTCTATTCTGGTAGCCAAACTTTTCCAACGGGTCCCCTGTGGTATAATTTTACATCCGATTTTAGAACATCCATATAACTAATTTTGAGAGGAGAACGCAACTCAAGAAAATGTTATTTTGATCTCCTTTTTGTTAAGCCACTTGAATTACCATCTCATTATATTCGTAGAATCAACTCACGTTACATGTCACAATTTTTCAGGAATCTCTCGTATAATCTCGCCCAAAACTCAAAAGGACGATCAAAAATTTTAATACAACTCAATACAAGTCATCATCTTTGGTCAATTCGAATTATCCGAAGTATGTCAAGCAATTTCAAGTAAAGTATTTCAACATTTATTAATGCTACTATTAGGAAGACGTTACATTGCACCTCATAGCCAATTGCATCATAACAAGGTCAAAAAATTCATCAGTCACCGATAAATTCATCATTCTAATAAAAAGCACAAACTGTATACACGTTGAGCTCGTCTAATCAAAATTAAATTGGCTAGGTTGGCCTCTTGCTACCCGGGTCGAGTCGCTCACTTTGTGTTTTGACGTTTAAAGTTAAGCACATGTCAGTGCTCGACCGAAAACGAATAGTCTGGGGCTTGGGTCGAGACATACATCGAGCACGGTCGAAACCCTCTTCGAGTACGGTCGAAACATACTTTGAGAGCACGGTCGAAACAAACTTCGAGAATGGCCAAAACATACCTTGAGCACGGTCGAAAAAAATCGAGTGCCCTGCGGTCATTCGGAGTCAGAAAGAAAAGTTTCTTTCCCATTATCAACATACTTTGTTAAATTGTTTTCGACTCAAATTGCTAACCAGTATATCAAGAGATGGAAAAACTTGGCTCAAAAAAAGTTCTTCTCTCAAACGCATTCACTTTGCAAACAACTAACCATTTCATTCTGATAAAAAAGCATCATAAGAATTTACCGGAAAAGCATAAATTATAACGTTTAATTTTGGATAACGCATGTTGATTGAAAGTCGAAACATACCCCATTTCGATTGAGTGCAGTCGAAACACATCTTGCTTGGGTAGAGGACGGTCGATCACACTTTTGCGGCCGAGGACGGTCGAAGAATAGCGAGATTTGGTCGAGCACGGTTGAAACATACCGAATTTTGTTCCAGATGGTCAAAACATCCAGATTTTTGTTCAAGATGGTCGAAACATAAAGTGAGCTCCTCGATCCTGGTACAGGAATTACAAGGACTAACCAATTTGTTCCAATAAAAAAAGCTGTTACCGAAAAACATCAAAAAAAATTCTAGCCTTCAAAAATTGAGAGTTTTTCTTGAATTTTTTTTTTGGATAAATTTCAGATCGTGTATTAATAAAGCAACAAATTTTTGTCATCAAACAAAACTTTTCTTACATTTTAGAAAACAACTTTCTTTGGTACATTTTACCTA